AACCATGTAAAAGTTGGAAAGACTGTTAAATCACTGAAACTTTAAATATATCTTACACAATCTTGTTTGTACAAAAATACAAGTTAAATATAAACATAAAGCAGCCATGATAATTTATGCAAATCTGTTCTATGTGATCTGTAGTTTTATATAAAAATTTCTTGGCTATGTTGTTTGTGAAAAGATCAACACCAGATCAAGTTACTATCTATTAGTGAAGGGCCCTAAAAAGCTTACTTTAGCGTTCAACTTTTACATGGTTGTATGTGTTTCCTAATTTGAGATCACTTAAACACTGGGAAAAAGAAAATAAAAGGGCAGCATGTCCATAAACCAACAAATAATCTGGCTGTAATGTATCATAAAACACAGAGAAACCCCACACATCTGTACAATAAACATGTGTTACATACACACATGGGTACACATGTGTGCATGCATGTATACACACACTGCATGCACATTAGCTAGGCTGAATTTGAGATCACTTAAACACTGGGAAAAAGAAAATAAAAGGGCAGCATGTCCATAAACCAACAAATAATCTGGCTGTAATGTATCATAAAACACAGAGAAACCCCACACATCTGTACAATAAACATGTGTTACATACACACATGGGTACACATGTGTGCATGCATGTATACACACACTGCATGCACATTAGCTAGGCTGAAAAAAGCCTAATGAGGTGCTGTGTCCAGCTCGATATTCAGCTGTGCATTTTTTCTGACTTCATCGAATGAATAGCTTTTTGTCACCTTTCCATTCTTGAAAACAGTATGGAGAAGATCCTGCAGAATACAAATTTAGTTATTAAAAAGACTGTCATGCCAGATATTGAATTATACTTTGATGAATTCACCCAAGTAGTCAAATACAGGCAGTTATTGACTGTGTCAACTTAGAATTATGAGATCATGATATGATGCTCTTAGGCTAGTTTCTTAAAGGGAGAAACAAAAAACACCCAGCTGACTAATTTTTCCTCTTCTGGAGTGGAAGAAGCTTGGTTGCTTAAGAGAACAACTGTTCCTGCTAATTACTACTGACAGAGCAGCCTACCAAGGACCATGCATCCCCTTGATCCTGGACAATAGACTCAATGCTGATTAAACCTGTCAATCTAGAAGTTTAGTAAAGTTGTTAGCCATTAAATTCTGGCCCTAAAAAAAGGGATAAAAATAAAAAAAAAAAATCAAACCTAAC